GACGAGTTTCGTACCAAAGAAGATTGTGTCCGATCAATTAAACAATATCACATGGACTTATCAGCAGATTATAGAGTCGATCAGACAAATCCAACTCGGTATACTGTCTATTATCGTAAAAAGGTGTGTCCGTTTCGATTAATAGCGTCTTTCATGAAGATAAGTGATTCCTGGAAGATAGGGTCAATGAGTCCACCCCACACTTGTATAATCTCGAATCCGATGTAGGACCATCACAAGCTCAGCTCTTGATTGATTTGCGATGAGATTATTTCAGTCATTAGTGACAACCCGTCTTTGAAGGTGAGTACCATAATAGCACATATGGTTCAAAGGTACAATTACACTCCTTCATACCGAAAAACATGGATTTCTAGGACTAAAGCGGTTGAAAGTGTATTTGGAAATTGGGAGGAGTCTTACAAGGAACTTCCAAAATTCTTGGTGGCTCTTAAACAATACTCTCCAGGGACTGTTGCCATATTGGAGACAATGCCAGCGTGTACACCATACGAGACTTGCGTTGGTGGAGATGGAATTTTTCACAGACTCTTCTGGGCGTTTGAACCATGCATCAAAGGGTTTGCATATTGTAAACTTATAATTCAAGTTGACGGAACATGGTTATACGGGAAATATAAGGGCACGCTACTCAGGGATGTGACACAGGACGAGAACAACAACATTTTTCCAATAGCCTTCGCTATAGTTGAAGGGGAGACTGCTGTGGTTGGAGTTTTTTCTTAAAAAATGTGCGCTTTTACGTTTCTCCCCAACCTAACTTATGTTTGATCTCTGATAGACACCCATCAATCGAGAGTGCATACAATAACCTTGATAACGGTTGGCAGGATCCTCCCTCGACCCATGTGTATTGCATAAGACATATTGCTCAAAATTTCATGCAAAAAATCAAAGACAAAACACTACGGAAGAAGGTTGTGAATGCAGGATATTTACTAACAGAGCCCACATTCAAACACTACCGTGACGATATCAGACTAACAAACACGGATGCATTAAAATGGATTGATAACATTGATAAAGAGAAATGGACACGGGCATACGATAATGGGTGCGATGAGGCCACATGACAACTAACCTCATTGAATCAATGAATTATATTTTCAAGGGAATCCGAAACCTACCGATAATTGCCTTGGTAAAGGAAATATATTTTAGGCTAGGCGCACTCTTTGATAGCAGACGTACGAAGTGGGGTTCAGTATTACAATCTGGTCAGCTGTACAGTAATAGTTCAACAACATTCATGAAAGACGAAGCTGCCAAAGCCAACACACATGTGGTCACAATCTTTGACCGTAATAAAGGTTGGTTCAGTGTTGCCAAGTTAATTGATCACAACGAAGGAAGGCCTAAGGGATGTTACCGGGTTGAACTGGATAGGAGCTGGTGTGATTGTGGGAAGTTTCAGGCATTTCGTATGCCTTGCTCTCATGTTATAGCAGCATGTTCGAAGGCGCGCCAGGATCCAACCAACCTTCTTTCTGCAGTTCACCAAGTGATAAATCTATGCAATGTTTACACATGTAGCTTTCAGGTGGTGGCAAAGGAGGACTATTGGCCTCAATACGAAGGCGGAATTGTCTGGCATAATGATTTGATGCGAAGAAAGAAAAAGGGTCGCCCTAACAACACGCGCATTCGAACGAAGATGGATACCGCAAACAAGATGGTAAGATTATGTAGTTCGTGTCGGCAACCAGGACACAATCGTACAAAATGTCCTAACGTAGGATCAAGCACAAGATCATAGTGTCTAATGTAACCGTGTCATTTTATATCAAAAGCAAATTTCATTTCATTTAAAGCATACTTAACCGATTATAATTAGCAAGCAACATAAATTAAACAAACATAACTTAATATCACAATAACATTCTGAAAATAACAACAACAAAACGACATAAAACAGAACAATGCATCAATGTGTCTATGATATCACAACCATCAACGTTATCTTCTTTGGTGTTAACATCATCACAAGGAGACCAACATCATTTTCCACTTTTTTCCATTCACGAATAACTCCGTTTCTCCCTGCCTCCTGGACCAACCTCTCAATTTTCCTAATCTTTTCACCTGCAGCAATATCTCCTTCTAGCCAGCGGTTCAGTTCCCTATGCAAATTCTCCAACGTCTGCGTATTTCACAGAAGCACCTTCATCGGAGGCTTTGTTGCTGAAAAATAAACTAGGGCATTTCTTTTCATTAGAGGAAATGTTGAAAACGGTTCCTCCGATACTGATGACGACGATGAAGAACGTTGATTTAGAAATGCAGACATTCTAGACTCCATTCCACCCAAAATTATTAAGACTCCAGTCTTTTGGTATAAAATATTGTGGAAAAATATATGCATTTGCAGTCGTATTTATAGAAAAATAAAGTAGTACGTACGCCATATGATATGCCTTAAATACCCTTACAAAATTTATATACTTTTTGCAACAAATATAAAAAATTTTCAACGTAAGATATAAAAATATAAAAATTCAAAGGTGACCTACAAATTATAGATTTTAAAATTATATATTTAATTATATACAAATTATGTTTTAAAATTATAGGTTAATCAATTTAAAACTATATTTATTATTTAAATCAATTTAAATCAATTTTTATTTTTTATTTAAATCAATTTAAAACTATATTTATTATTTAAATCAATTTAAATTAATTTTTATTTTAAATCACAAATATATTTTAAAACTATATCACAAATATATTTATTATTTTAAATATATTTAAACCTAAATCAACTTAAATATATTTTAAAACTATATCACAAATATAATTTTAAAACTATATCACATAAAATAAAACTTATAAAAATAAAAATAAACAAAAATATAAAAGAAAAACTAGAAATGAAAAAAAAAGAAGGAAAAAAAAAGAAAGAAAAAGGCCTAATTCGCCGCGAATCCGTTTGAACCTAAAACATGTTCGCCAAATCAATTGGCGAGCCAACGTTGAAAGTTGGCCATTTTAGAAAATTTGAAATATTATTTTGTTTGGTAATTAGTTTGAAAAAATTGGTTATATTAAAAAAAATCTAGTATTGAGGTGGTTTCAAGTTTTTATTTAAATAAAAAAGAAATTATAAAATTATTTTGATGTTATTAAATTATTTTTTATTGGACTAAAATATGTTAATTATTTTTAATTTTGTGGCTTTTTTTTTTATAAATTTAAAGTAAGTTTTTTATTTCTAGGTATTATGAATATTTCATGTTATTGAGAAAATGTATATCGTATTTTTAAGTTGCACATTAGAATTTTGTAATTTTAAATCATAAAAAAATCAAATTAATTATAAAAGTTGATTAAATAATAAGATGATTTACTATTAAAACGTTTAATCACATGATTATTATTATTTTGAATATTTAGAAACCAAAATATTTCTATTTTATGATTTTATTTTTATATTTTGTAAATAAAGTTCAAATTAGTTACAAAAATTGATTAACTAATAAAACTATTGTAGTTATTAAATTTTGTAAGAATTTTATTTATTTAATATCTTTTTTTTTGTGGGCCATCCATTTTTAAAATTTTTGAATGATCGGTTTATTTTTGTGCTAAATGATTTTTAATTTAACAAAATAGTGTAGTTATTATAATTTTAGGTATTCGAATCTTAAGAAAAGAATAGATAGTGTAATTATTAATAAAATGATGTAGTTATTATTTGTTTGAGCGTAAGTTAAAAAGATTGAATTACATTTGTGAATAACTCTTCTGAAATATATAATAATAAGATTTTTGTAACATATTTGGAATAAAAGTTGAAGTGTAATTGTATTTTATTAATTTATAAATAAAATTTAATTAATTATAAAAATCGATCAACTAATAAAATTATTGTAGTGATTAAACTTTGTAAAAATTTTAAATATTTAATATTTTTTTGTTAGTCATCAGTTTTTATTTTTATTTTTGAATGACCATTTCTTTTTGTGGTATTTTGTAATTTATCAAAATAGTGTAGTTATTATATTTTTTGATATTCAATTTTATAAAAAAAAAACAGTGTAGTTATTAACGAAATTGTGTATTTAATTTTTTTGAATTATATAAAGATTAACAATTGTGTTTAAGTGTAATTAACTCTCGTAAGATATTTAGTAATAAAATTTTCGTAACATATAATTTTTAAAGTAGAAGTTAAAGTATAATTGTATAAATTTGTTGTAAAATTCAATATATTATTTACTATATTATTGTAAAATTCACTATATTATATTTAATATATTATAATAGATAATTAATTTAATTTTATCATATTTATTTATTTATTATATTATTGTTCCTTCAACTTATTAATAAATATAATTTAATTTCATCATATTTACTTATTTATTAAATTGTTTAAATTTAGGAGGTTTTCAAAACAATTTTTTCAAATCATCTTATACTTGATTTTCAACACTTTCAACTCACATTTGTAGGAGTTGGTCCCCAACACTTTCAACTCATATTTACAGGAGTCGGTGTCTTATTCGAACCACGACTTTGATATTAGAGATGAGTCATCATGAGAGAAAAACATATATATTGAGTTAAATACTTATCTAAAAGTTTTTTTACTTATAAAATGCTTAACTTCCACTTTTCTAAATAATATGAAACTTAAAACTCACACTTGTTTTCCAACACAACTCATCCTTATTTCTCAATAAAAAGAACTTTCGATACAAATGAGCCGATACTTTATTTGAACCAACAATTCTTGATACCACGTATAAAATATTCAATTTTCTCTTTTTTATCAATATAAAACTTTTACCTCACACTTTGATTCTCAACAAAATTTATTTACAATAGAGATTTTCTCTTAAAATTCTGATATAAGTAAAACTTACAACTTACACTAATAGCACACAAGTGAAATAAAGAAGAGCACACATAAGATGGTTATCATCACATATTGATAGTAAAATTTCTTATTCATAGACAAGAAAAATTTGATTCCTTCATATCGTAGTATGCTTCAAATCATTTCCAAAGTACGCTTCGATCCTTGTACTGGTTTCATTAATTTTTTCTTTGTCATAGAAACGAAGGTAATCATAATGGTCAAATGTTGGTTTATAACACAGAGGATGTTCCTCATTCACAAACTCCTTTGGTATCTCCATCATCTTACTACCAAAAGAAAATAGTCCAGTTGAGTATCTTGTTTTCTTTGCACTCATTATAACTCTATGCTCACATGAACTAATTCTCCCATTACTCCACACCTAGGCCACCAAAAATACACAACTATATTAAATCCCAACAAAATAAATTAAAAATAAATTATAATAATTTTCTATATTAATACTACGAAAAGAGCGCCAGAGAGTGTTATAAAGAGAGTATTGTTATATGAGAGACATGGTTACCTTGAATGCATCACCAGCCATGACAACAAAGGAGGAGGGTGAAGCATCAACCCCAACCCAATCTCCATTCTTCATCTTGATTTCCAAACCATTCAGATTATTCAACTGATGTACCACTGATATAATCGTTAAATCCGAGTGAGGTTGAAGTCCCAAATCATTTTCATCAACATGAGGTGTTCTATATTTCATGCATCGAATCAAATAATTGTTCGATTCTATCAACGAATCACATACTTTCATATCCACACCATAGCTCTCAAACACCATTCTCTTAGATATACGGTCTAATTCTCCCAATAGCTTAGAATACTCATTCATGACTTCACAGAAACCATGGTTTCCTTGAGACCACATGATTTGCGCGAATTTTTGACATCCAAGCATAGTTAATGGATCTATGATGGCGAGAGATTCATATAATGGAAGCCATGGGACTTGTCCTAAGTAGCCATGGAAAGGTGTGTCGGTGTTACTGGTCATTTGGACTTTTGTTTCTAAAGGGAGTGAGAATAACTCTTCCATTGCTAAAACAACAGAGTCACAAAGGTGTTTCCCGAGTTTATTATAGTTTGCTACGAAACAACCATAGTTTTCTAGTGAAGTCCTTACAACGTTGGAAGCTGAGAGCCATGTGTCTGTACCAGGTTTCATGTTTTGGTCGGAGAAGTCAACAGTAGGGATGATTTGAGACTTTGATTTTGTTCCCATGGTGATGCTATTGCTCTCAAAGTTCGTTCTCTCACTAAAGACAATTTGTGTTTGGTGAAGGCAACTAGTAACTGTATTTATTGTTTATTTGATACAATGGCTCTAAAAATCCTCTATTATGTGTGATTTTATAATGACAATAATTAATAATATTCATTTGATATGATATATGTTTCAGGGAAGCAAGTTCTTCCTAATTACGTGGTCCAATTCAAATAAAGTATTTTAATTTATAAAACATGGACTCCAACACAAATATTAAGAAGCGATATAAACACTTCTACATTGATAATGTAAAAGTATACGACACCAACATCAATATATATATATATATATATATATATATATATATATATATATATATAATAGTATTAGAGATTATTTTTCTATCTATTATTTAAAAAATAAAAAAATAAATTAATTAAAATTGATTTCTTTAATTCTTCATTGATAACATTGCTTTAATATAAGTTTAATTCTTTTTTATCAGTGAAGATTTGTTAAAAAAATATAAAAAGCTTATTGCAATAAACTTTTTTTCTTCATAAAACACTTTTATGACTTCTACAATTTTAAAAATACCTTTAATCCACTTCAAATTAAAATTATTATTATTTTTTGGGTATTTTTTTAAAATCAATTCTCCTCCTCTAAAAGCATTTCTCTTAAAGGTTTTTGAGTTTAGTAGGATTTTTTATTTATTACAAGTCCTTTTAATTTTTCATCTTTACCCTCTTTAATTTGTATCAATTAATTCTTTTTCTCTTCATTTCTCTGCTCCCTCTCTATCTCTCTCAATCTTACTCTCTTTCTTCATTATAAATTTATTTTTGCTTTAAAAAATGAATGAGATTTAGAAAGATAGAAATGAAGACAAAAAAGGAGAAGAGGATCTAAAGTGTTACTTGATTGAAAGTATCAACTTTTGGAAACAAGTAAATGTCGTTCATATACACTTGTTTGTCATATCACAATGACAGATAGGACCACCAATAATAAACAAAAATAAAACCCATTCATTTTTTTAGTTTGCTAAAGGACATAATTTTAGGTCTTCTACAACTGGATAGTTTTATCTTTTTAATTGTTTTATAATTATGGATTAAATATTGCTATAATTATTGATCAATTGATAGACTCTGTTTAATTTTTTATAGCAATTTGTTACAATAATTTGTTTCATTTTCTTGTCCATATTTAAGTAATTATCTTCGTGTCTTTTAGGGGACTATTAGAAATGTAAAAGTGTGAATGCTTACTACATAATTTACAAAATTGTTAATTAAATAGGTTGACAAATTTTAACAATACATAGTAAAACTTTAACTATAATACCAAACCTTCTAAAACCCCAAAAACTAACCTTCAACATAATCAAACAACGTAACTATAATACCAAAAACTTAAAACGAACACACTAAAACCCCAAAAATCAAAACTTTATTATCATAATGAGAAACAAACTCCTCTATGCAAAACTTACCACATAACTTTAGAACTCGACTCCAATGACAAGGAATAATACAAAATAGAAAAGAATGTATTCTCTATATTTTGCAATAAAGACTTTTTCTACTATGAGCGAAAATAAATAACGAAGTAGAGAGCAATTAACGTCTTCAAAATGAGGTGTTTGTGGTTATGTAAATATTGAATATTAGGGTTTGAAGAAATGAAGATTGTTTTAAAAGTATGTATACTACAAACCAAGTCAATATTGTTTTAATTCCAAGTAAAAAAATAATTTCTAAACAAAAAACCCGTGGGCAAAACCCGCCCCGCCCTTGGCCCGTTTTAACAGTTGTGTTAGTTAGAGAGATTAATTGGTGTATAAGTAATCTCAATTATAAATAGAGAAATACCCTATGTGTGTAAGTAATCTCAATTATAAATAGAGAAATACCTTATGTTTGTAAGAAGAGCAGAGAGAACAACTTATAATTATTCGATAAAATTCATTTTTATCTCAAAATCCTAATTTCCATGTCTCTCTCTTCTCTCTCTCTCTCTCTCTCTCTCTCTCTCTCTCTCTCTCTCTCTCTCTCTCTCTCTCTCTCTCTCTCTCTCTCTCTCTCTCTCTCTCTCTCTCTCTCTCTCTCAATTATCTCATTTCATCAAATCTTTATGCAGATGAATCATCTTACAACCAAGGTGTGGTTGAATCACTTAAGTGAAGAGTGAAGAACGAGAAGTGTGATCAATCAGAAAGACTGATTCTCGTTGAATCAAGATTGATTCAGATTATCTCCAAGGTTGGGGTTTAATTCCAATATAAACAATGACTTCTCATTCGAACGGGTATTTTCCAGCAATCCTTCCAATCTTGAATGGTAAGAATTATGACAATTGGTGTAAGCAGATGAAGGTTGTTTTCTATTATCAAGATATTTGGGATCTTGTGAATAATGGAGTGACACCAATTGGAGAAGATGTTATGGATGAAGAAAATGTTGTACATAAAGATTTGAAGAAGAAAGATTATAAAGCTCTCTTTATAATTCATCAATGTGTTGATCCATACAACTTTGAGAAAGTTGATGATGTAGACTCAGTAAAGGAAGCATGAGACATCCTGAAGAAATCGTATGAAGGCGCTGAAAAGGTGAAAGAGGTGAAGTCATAAACTAAAAAAAATGTATGAATTGCTTCAGATGGAAGAAAGTTAAAACATCACTGATTTCTTCACTAAAGTAACAAGAATGGTGAATCAAATCAAGATGTGTGGAGAAATGTTGACATCAAGACCAATAATTACAAAGATCTTGGGATCATTGACTTAAAAATTCAATCATGTGGTAGTAGCCATAGAAGAATCTAAGGATTCGTCAAACATGACAAAATTGAAGAGCTTCAGAGGACGCTTGAATCTCATGAATAAAGAATGACTAAAAAATCTGCAAGTAAGACAAAAAGTGATGCAACTCTGCAGGCGCATTCACCAAAAGAAAAGAAAGACAAAGGAAGATGAAATGGTAAAAAAGGTAGAGGAAGTTACAAAAATTGGACTGGTACAAGAAACCAACAATAAGGTAGTTCATCAACTCAAAGACAATCCTCAAACCAAAGCAATTACAAAGGTAGCGTTGTAGGTAGAGTAAAATGCAATGGAAGAAAACCTGATAAAATCCATATATAGTGTTATAACTATCACGTAGAGGAAGAGGCGATGGAAATTATGCAAGTCAATGTCAAGGAGGCAAGAAAGTGATGCAAGACTTGCAAAACACGAAGAAGAAGAGATGTTACTGATGATCACAACGAAAGATAAAGAATGATTCAAGGGCCAATGATACTTAGACTCGGGCTGCTCATCACACATGACTGGAAGGAGAGATTGGTTTGTTAACATAAGTCCCTTGATGAAAAACAAGGTTAAATTTTCAAATGACAATACCTTGGCTACTGAAGATATTGGTGATGTTCTGATCATGAGGAAAGATGGGAAAAGGTCAGTAATTTCTAACGTACTGTACATACCACGCATGAAAAATAATTTGCTCATCATAGGGAAACTGATCGAGAAAAATCACAAGGTGTTAATCGAAGATAAGATGATGGGAGTTCTCAACTCAGGTGGTAAGTTAATCTTGAAGGCACCCATGTCTTAGAACAGATCCTTCAAGATTGAACTAAATGTGATGAAACACAAGTTTCTGGCAACTGTAGCTAGTAAAGATGAATGACTATGACACTATAAACTTGGCCATCTCAACTACAAAGACATCAGAAATCTGAAGAGAAGAAACATGGTTCTAGGATTATTAGAAATTAACATTCCAAATTGTGTGAAGAATGTGTTCAAGCAAAGCAACACAATAATATCTTTCGCAAATATGAAAGAAGTAAGTTGAAGACAATTCTTGAAGTCATATATTCAATGTGCGTGGCCCTATTGAGGTGGATTCGATTGGATGTAACAGATACTTTGTCGCATTCCTAGATGATTTTAGTCAAAAATAGTTGACATACCTGATCAAGAATAAAAAGGATGTGCTTGAGGTGTTCAAAATGTTTAAATATATGGTGGAGAGACAATGTGGTCGAAAGCTCAAGACTCTGAGAACTAATGGTGGTGGAGAATATGTTTCCAACGATTCACTGCTTTATGTGAGAAATAGGGGATTATGCATGAGGTAGTGCCACGATACACTCCACGGAAAAATGGAATTCTAGAAAGGAAAAATAGAGCCATCATGAACATGGTTAGAAGTATGCTAAGAGGCAAGAACTTACCTAATGGATTATAGGGTGAGGTTGTGTCGACTACAACATACATCCTGAATAGATGTGCGACTAAGAAGTTAGAAGGAATCACACTAGAAGAATATTGATATAGTGTCAAGCATAGCTTAAGTCATCTGAAGGTGTTCAGATCCATAACACATAGACATGTGCCTAACCAGATGAGAAAGAAACTTGATAACAAGTTATGCTAGATGATCATGATAGGATATCACTCAACTAGTGGATACAAACAGTTTGACCCAGTGAACAATCAAGTGGTAATTAACAGGGATGTGATCATGAGTGAGCTGAAGGAGTGGGATTGGGAAGACAATGTCAATAAGGATTCAATGAAAATCATGTGTGATGAACCAGCTAGTGAGGCTGACAGAGAAGTTCAACAAAAAGAAGTCAGAGGTCAAGTAGGCACAAGCAGACTTCAAAGAAAAAGAAACATGCTTGTAAGGCTGTAGAAATGTGTGATTACATTAGATGGTGTGGTCAATAATGAAGGTGAGCTTGTTCATTATACTTTCTATTCAGATACTGAGCCATTCAATGTAACTGAGGCATTGAAGGACTTGAAATGGATGCATGCGATGAATGAATAACTGAAGTTTATAGAATTTAATAATACATGGTCACTAGTTAAATTGCCACAAGGAAAGAAGGCAATTGATGTGCAGTGAGTTTATAAAGTGAAGCTGAATCCAAAAGGAGAAGTAACCAAACACAAAGCACGACTTGTAGCTAAAGAATTTTTTCGGAGGGAAGAA